CTACTATCTAAAATTTCTGGATCCGTCTATATATATATATATATATAATTTTAAGGTGACGAATTTAATTTGAAAGCTAATGAGAATAAAACTAGGGAATAGAAAATTGTTTGTGAGCTAAAATATAAAGATTATTATTATATGTACAAAGAAAACCGTATTATATTATGATCTGGGCTTGATTGTTGGATCAATCATTCATATCCAACCTTAACTGAGATGGAAGGTGCAGTGATCATAGCCCAAACAAAAGTGACGTGCTTATTATTTATTAATGATAATTATAATGAAAATAAAGAAATGATTGATAAAAAAAAATAAATAACTCAGTTATTACTTGTAGTTGTGGATAGTCAAGGCCAAATCTCTTGTCTCTTCAAAAACTTAGGGGTAGTATTTGTAGCGATCCATGTTGTTGAATATATTTTTTTAACAAAATATATTTCACTGAAAATAATAATTAATTTTTTTTAATCGAAAATCATAATCATACCTAAGTAGATATTCTTCTTTTTTTATATAATTTATTTCATATTTAAAATTAGAATTCAAAAGTCTAAAATGTTTTGATAGAGACATAGCTAAGTGAGACTTGTGCGGTTGTGACAACTAATGTAGTTAGAAATAAAAGTTTGCTTTACTGTGTCATGGATCAGTTGGAACTTATCGAAGCGATTGATGACCAATCAGTGCATGGTGGAGTGGAAAACACGTGCAATTCTACACCTCATCTCTTACATTGACTCATCATGTCTTTATGTTGCACAGCCAGCTGAACTATTATGTCCTTTTCCTTCACAGTAAAGTAGGCCACACAAGAACAAAAAATGCAAATAGATACAAAATAAATATTCACAACTTAGCTTTGCATATCAATCAAATTGCTGCAACATAAGAATTTGCAGCAACTCCGTTTCTTTTCTTTAAAGGGCTTGGTATACATGGACAGTTTTAAATCTTGTCTCTGTAAAGAGGATCAACATAAAAAAGAAAGTGGTTTATTGAATGTTTTCCTCTTTGTTCAGAAGAGAATAATACATTTTATTTTTCATCTTTTTCTGTGATCCTTTTTTTCTTTTCTAATTTTTCAACCTTTACAGATAATCCTATCCTGATTATAGATGTAGAACCAAAACAAGCTCATGAATATTCAGATTACCCTTATTTAGTTTAATTTCCTTCCCTCCCCCACAAAGCAAATCAACAAAATGTATTTGTCCCCTCCATCTAATCAAACCTTTTTCCTTTCTTTTGCCCTCATATCATCAAAACTCGAATCATGCAATAGGCTAATATTCTTCTCCTTTTATAAATCAATCTACACACTTCTAATGATATTAAAACCTATCATATCGTAATTAGACTCTTTATTCCTTAATCATTACATGGTTTCTTTAAGAATAAGCAAATCCTCCCAACTTGGCCCTTGCTTTCAATGTACTTACTTTATATGAGGCCATATAGACAAGACTACACATAAGATAAGACCTAGGAATATGCACATTGCAAACGCAAGATTCCTTGGTTTGAATTTGCAACATGCATGAAACTGAGTTAGAAAGAAATTGCACATATATTACTTGAGCATATATATATACATGTATAACTAAGACGTACGGATTTGGTTTAAAGCTTCAATAAACAGTATTTGCAGTTTTGCACGAGACAGCGCACTTGTATCTCTTCTTTTAACACATGGTAAGTGATGTTTTTAGCCTGAAACAAGAAATCAAAAGAATCATATAAAAACCAAAGTAGTGAGACCTAAACATTGGAAATGGGGAAAGAAAAGACTTGGGGATTGAGATTGTGTGGATTTTGCTTTGAGGGCCGAACGGAGAGCTTTATGATCACTTTTTATAATACTATAAATTATATATATAATATATATATGTTGGGCCCGATAGTCCACCTGTTGTTCCACCATAGTATGATATTCCACACCTCAGCAACTCCAAACTCTAAGAATCAACACCTTCAAACCAAGGTCACCATAAGGAATCAGAAATTGATGGGGAAGAAGAGTGTAAGAGAGTGAGAATGAGTTGAGAGTTGAGAGGAAGAAAATGAGATATCATCCACGAGTCTCACATATCACTTATACCCATTAGTAAATGTTCTCATGAATGAAATGTTGTTTTGCTGATAAAAAAAAGTACATACACGACCAATCTCTATGAAACCAAATTACAAAAAATAAAAATGAACAAAAACAAAGGATACGTTACAAACAAACAAAAAACAGTTACAAAGGGATGAAAGCAGACATGATATCCTCATAAGAGGGTCTCACACCACAATTGAAGCTAGAGAAGTTTTTGTACTTGAAATGGCATGGATTCGCAAACTCTATATGGTCCCACAACCATGATATATATTTTTTTTGTGAAATAAGAGATTATCATGCCTTACAACTAGGGGTGGGTATACGGACCGGTCCGGCCCGTTTAAGGCCCGGTCCGTAAAACCCGTGTTTTATACGGCCGGATAAGTTCGGTCCGTAAAATGCTTTTGTTTGTATACAAATAAGGGACGCACAAGGGTCTACAATGTAGAGGGTGATAAGAATTACAAAGCCTACAAGCGCGAGATTTTCATTTTCCAGGGATTAATGTTTGAATTTGTTTGCAGGAGAATGTGTTTAAATTATGATGCCTACCAGAATCATTCTTCTTGCCATATGGTTATTCTTTCACTGCTTGATCTAGTTTAATGGCTACTTTTTTGTTTGTCCTTCTATTTTAGTATAGTATTTTTTATTATCATGAATTGATTTCGATGCGGTTATGTTTCTGTTGTTGATTTTTGATGATTTTAAATTGGTTTTTTTTACCAGGCCAATGATAATGGAGGGCACACACAACAAACAAGAAAGGTAGAGAATAATCAATAATAGAATGGAACAATGTTGCATGAAAAAGGAATAAACAAAAGAAAGAATGAGAGAATTAAAATAATAAAAAAAATCATAACTGAACATGAAAATCAGTTACATTTTTTTAAAATCAAAATTAAAATTAAAAATAATACGTGATAATCTAATTGAGATGATATTTTGTGATTGAGAGGACAGAATTTTGGAACAGAAAATTTTGATCCTATCCAAAGATGATTACTAAGATAATGGGAACACAAAATGGGCCATATACAAATAACTTCCTCTTAAAATCAGGAGCATTTTTTAAAACTAAAAATATACTCCTATATTCCTAAAATAAAGGGGCAGTTACCAACATTCTCAACCTCTAAAGCAAATAAGATTTTTTGGGTACTATAGTACTCAAGAACTAAGCAACGACTGAATTAATTATTATAAAGAGACGAATCTTCAACAAATGTATTTAAACTGTTTTTTCGTTGAATGAAATAGAAACTTTTAGCAAAGTTTGTTGTTACATTTATTCATGGGAACGAGTGACAATTTCTAAATAAGTAAAATATTTTGCAGAACATTTTTATAAACTCTAAAATTAATCAAGACCATTTTGACATAATATAATGTTTTTGAGCACAACTTTGAGTTGTAAAAGTCAAAACGATATGAGATAGTTGTGAATTTTAAGGATAAAATAATCTGCAATATGGAGTTTAGAATATTAATTATGTATGATGGAATGTAAAGTGAACATGGATCACTATAAAGTGGTGGTGATTTTTGTTTTAAAGGCACCTTACTGGAGTCAAGTGACAGTGTAATAGCATAGGAACTCTAGACCATGAATGTTATATATGGAGGATTTGTTTGTTCTATATATGAAAGGAATAAGGCACAAGGAATGCAAGTTATATTACAATTTCCAAAATAACGGATTTCGTTTACATGAAATGCTGATAGAGTAGCATTGCAGAAAATAAAGGAAGCCTTCTCATATCAGAACAATTATATATTTTTACTAGCAAATAAATTATCAAGAAAACATAAAGGAAGCTAGCCTTTGGTTTTCATACCACTTGTCGACTTGTGAATAGAAGGACAAACAAAAAAGTAGCCATTAAACTAGATCAAGCAGTGAAAGAATAACCATATGGCAAGAAGAATGATTCTGGTAGGCATCATAATTTAAACACATTCTCCTGCAAACAAATTCAAACATTAATCCCTGGAAAATGAAAATCTCGCGCTTGTAGGCTTTGTAATTCTTATCACCCTCTACATTGTAGACCCTTGTGCGTCCCTTATTTGTATACAAACAAAAGCAATATTCAAACCTAAAAAAGAAATCATAATTCAAGAAAATCACAAATTAAAAAAATGAATCAAAGTAATAATATCAATCAAAGCAGCGAGAAAAGGAAAACAATAATATGAAATAGGTCGCGAATGTCGTTGAGCCTTAACTTGCTATCCCTTGCAGAACTACTAACTGCAGTAACAGTTACAGCCCAACTTTCCGGTAATGATGACAATAGTATCAATGCCTTCACCTCATCTTCAAATTTGATTTGTACTGACTCTAACATGGCAAGAATAGTGTTAAAGTCATTAATATGATTAATCACAGGGTTACCTTCTCTCATCTTGAGGTTGAACAACCGACACATTATGTGTACTTTGTTGGCTGCAGACGGTTTCTCATACATGTCTGATAGTGTCTTCATCAGACTTGCAGTTGTCTTCTCGTTGACGATGTTGAACGCGACATTCTTGGCCAATGTCAGTCTGATCACGCCAAGAGCCTGTCGATCTAGCAAGTTCCACTCTTCCTGTTTCATATCGTCTGGCTTCTCCCCTATTAAGGGTTGATATAACTTCTTCTGATACAGATAATCCTCTATCTGCATCTTCCAGAAGCCGAAGTCTTTGCCATCAAACTTCTCTATCTTCACCTTCCCCTCTTCTAACGCCATTGCTCTGCTGCTGAGAAAAGCTCTTTCTCTCTAAACTGAGACTCTCTCTCCTCTAAGCTGAAGATTATCCTTTTCTGTTGTGGAAGATCAGATAAAACTGCAACCACAGAGCATACTAAGAATATTCTCCCGAACCCAAGGCTCTTGATACCAGTTGTTAGGCAACAGGCATTAAAAGAGAATAAAAAGGAAAGAGGAACACAACTATTTACGTGGTTCAACACACTATGTATATACCTACATCCACGGTTACACTAGGAAGAGTTTTTATTTTGATGCATTAGAACCTTACAAGGTGCCTCTATATATATAGCATAAAGAGGAGGCAAGCATTACAAGCTAAACAATGTGGGACTAAAACTTAGACTACACACTTAACAATATATATATATATATATACTACTACTTGTACTACATGTTCTTGCTCACTAGAAAAAAACAGAACATTCCTAACGTTAAAAAGTGGCATAATCTACAGCATGTTTTCATGTCCTCTCAACCTTTCATGGGATTTTTGAACTTGACTTTTGACAACCTTGATGAAACGTATAGATTCTAAGGTTTTTAATATTACAATGTTAGGATCCATTAGACATGTACGTGTAATAGCATGAGTGCATCATGACACGACAGTTTTTGATATATAAAATAATAATACATAAAGAGTTTATCTTATCATATTAAAAGAATAAAAGACCCTCAAAGAGAGAGATAAAACTAAGATTTCGTTTTTGCTAATAAGTAACATAAAACAATTGTATTTTATAAGTTAACAATTCTGTTTTCCCTTTATAAACATAGAAGATAAAGAGAGGTGAACAAAATAGCAAAGAGCTAATTAAAGTGTCGGATATATTTTAATAATTGAATAATTCACTTCAAAACCAAACAAATATATAGGAGGGAGGGAAGGAATGGCTTTGAATTAACCTTGACTATGCTTTCTTCATTAACAAGATCCGGTGAAACACATCTTTAGCTAAAGCATGGCATGGCCCCGCAGATCGTGACACATGGAATAAGCATTTCTGAGAATTAACCAGAAAGAGAAGAGGCACTAAGCAACAAAGGAAATATTGTGGCTTGCTGACAGCACACAGAGAAATACAAAAAGAGAATGAGAATGTAGTAGTTTTATATTGCTGTTGTTTGGTTGTCCATCAATTCCAACCATTCTTTGCTTAAAGAGAGAGTTAGCCCTGGAATAAAGTAAAGGGCAAAAATAAGTTATGGGTTAAGGGTAAAGCACATTATCACTTGCCTACTATGCTAATTTTGCAATACTGACAACTTATGACCCAACATAAATTATTAGGTGATTCTCATCATATAGTCTCAATTAATCTTTATATAACATGTAATTAAGTATTATAATTTTTTAAAAATTATAAAACCTAAATACATATTATATAATGATTGATTATGACCATGGATACTTGATGATCTAAATTATCCAATAATTTCTCAAACAAGTGGCACACTCTCCTCTCCCAAGCCAAAAAGAAAAATTAGTCACCAGTCATAGCCAGTTGCAAGTGTTGTTCTGTTTGGAAGGGACTAATAGTTTGGGTTACACACTCTCAATCAGGAAAATAAATTAAAGTGAAATTTTCATTGGATAAGATATTTGAGAATCTAAAAAAAAGTGTTTTCATTGAAGAGAATTAATCTCTCCTGGAGAAAGGAACAGAGTGGCAAAACCAGAACAGCACAGTGCATATGGATATAAGACAGATACACCAAAAATAATTAACTAAACTTTTGCTTTAGTTGAAATAACTCAATAAGGAAGGATGATTTTGCAAGGAAAGAAAACATCACATTTTAAAATATTTCCCTCAATGTGCACAAAGAGAAAAGGAAAAATTATATGTCACGCATAAAAAGTGTTTCTTTTTAAATTGTAAGGAAAAGGGAAGAATAAAAGCTTTTATAAATGTAAAAGACATAAATACCTTTATTTATATTATTTTTATTTAAGGCATTTGTGTTATTTTACATATACTTTCTTTTCTTTTCTTTTACTTTTTATCCAACTAAACATCTTGCGTGTGTTTGGTGTTGAGATATGTACAATTCAAGAGAGTTTTTTCTACTAATGTTGAAGCAACTTCTTCTTGGCTAACTTGCTATGTTTTTTTAGGCAATTTTTCTTTAGTGAAACTAAACACACACTTAAACAATTAATTCTTTGGATTTAATTTTCATGTATTAAAAATATATATATAAAAGTTATATAGTCAATTTATCATAAATTATCATTATATGTTTTTTAATATAATTATTGTAAAAAAAGTAACAAATTATTGTTTATAGATCTCTTTCAAAGAGTTTATGAACAACTCATTTTTACTTAAGGGGGTGTATTGGATTAGGATTTTAAAGGACTTTTTTTGGCTTCAGAAACTGACAGATGCAGCATATGTGTTGGACGATATCTTGGATGAATGTTCAATACACTCAAAAAGTTCATGCTTATCTCGTGTCCACCCTAAGGACATTCTCTTTCGTCGTGATGTTGGCAAGAGGATGAAAGACATTACCCAAAGATTTCATGACATTCATGAAGAAAGGAGCATGTTTCAATTCAGTACTGGTGTCACTGACAAGCAAGCAGAGGATGATGATGAATGGCG